GGAAGCAGAAGCCGACTTCTTGCAAGCGGCGAAGGCGAAAATCGAACCCCGAGAAGAGAAGAAGGATAAGAAGCCGAGTTCGACGATAGAAAGAAAAGGATCCCCGAGAATAGAGAGAGAGAGACGGTCGAGGGGGTGGAGGCCAACTCAGTACACTCCCTTGTCGGCCCCGAATGCGAGAATATTAGAGGTGATGGAGAAGGAGATCTTTGATAATGTCGTCAGGTGGCCGCGGACGAGAAAGGATGAACCAACAAAACCCAAAAGCAATATGTATTTCCAGTTCCACAAGGATTATAGGCACAACACCGACGATTGCAGGCACCTCAAGGACGAGATCGAAAGACTAATCAAACCGGACCATATGAAGGAGTTCATTTATAAGGATCGAGAAAGAACCAGTCGACGCCGGGAAAGAAGCAAGAGCCCTCGCAAGAGGGCGAGGACTCCCGACAAGGAGGAGCTCCCTCAGAAGAGAGGGGTAATTCATATTATATTCGGAGGGCCGACTGACGGAGATTCAAATCAGGCCAGAAAAGCATATGCTCGAGGCCGCTATGGAAAAGCTGAGGTGCAGCAAGTCGAGGAGAACGACCCGGTGATGAATTTTGGGCCAACGGATATAGGCGAAGTCGAGAGGCCGCATAATGATGCTCTAATGATAACGACTCAAGTATCGGGTTATGAAGTACAAAGGATGTTTGTCGACACCGGGAGTTCGGTGAACGTGATTTTCTACAATTTTCACAAGAGGATGGAGCTGGATCTTGAATTAACACCGCTACATACATCACTCTTTGGATTCAATGGCTCAAAAGTTGCACCCCTGGGAGAGACTACGCTCGCAGTCGTCCTTGGAGAAGGAGACCTGCCGAAAGTCAAAATGGTGAGATTCATGGTAGTCGATGTCGAGTCTGCCTACAATGTGATACTTAGGAGGCCTGCGTTAAACGCGTTTCAGGTAGTGGTATCGACTTATCACATGAAACTGAAGTTCCCCGTGGGAGATTGAGTCGGGGAGGCTCGAGGAGATCAAAAATTATCAAGAACCTGCTACCAGAGAGCCATGAAAACCAATCAACGAGCAGAGGTCAAAGAAGGAAAAAAGCCAATGTCGAGCGAAAAAAGACCAAGGGGAGGCGACCTCGAACCACACGTAGAGTTGATGGAAATTCAAATCGGGGAGAGAGAGGACCATGTTAGAGTAGTATACCCGGCGTTCCAAGCGGATTGGATGTATTCTACTTGTAAATACAATCTATTGGAATTATATTAAATAATAAGGCATTATTTTATTTTAAGAGTAAGCATTTATCATATATTTGCACTTAAGATAAAGTCCCTAGATCACTCATAGCTATAAGATATGGTTGCGCATAGAGATGGTGATCATGGAACATATATTGAAAGTTGTGATCTTAAATACAGTTCCAAGTCGTTGGATGTTTCGAGATGGGATATCTAATAAATCCGGAAAAGACTTGCACATAGTATGTATGCTTATTAGATAAGAATGTTGCATTCCATCAACATTAGCGTGGGACGCAAGTACATATATGTGGGTGCTTGTTAGAGAACAAGTTCACTGAACATGACCGTATGAAAATTCTTAATGAAATTTTATCATGTCGAATAAGAATTTTCATGTTACAATAGTACATGATTAGGTCATATATCTGAAAAGAGGATTCACAAATTGGGACCAAAACTCGACCTTAGGGGAGAGGAAAGGTTGCCTACTTGTGAGTCATGTCTTAAAGGTAAAATGACAAAATCACCATTTGTTGGACAAGTGGAGCGAGCTAAAGGTCTGTCGGATTTGATCCATACAGATGTTTGTGGACCACTAAATGTTAGTGCCAAGGGGAACTACTATATTTCATAAATTTTACTGATGATTATTCACGGTATGGTTATGTATACCTATTAAGGTACAAATCTGAAGTATTTGAAAAGTTCAAAAAATTCAGAAATGAAGTAGAGAAACAAATTGGTCGTAGTATAAATGTTCTTCGATCAGATCGAGGAGGTGAATATTTGACCAATAAGTTTCTTAATTATTTAAGAGATAATGGGATTATTTCACAATGGACACCTCCTGAAACTCCACAACGAAATGGGGTTTCAAAAAGAAGGAATCGAACATTGTTGGACATGGTTCGATCAATGATGAGTTCCACTAGTTTACCTTTTTCATTCTGGGGCTATGCCTTAGAAACAGCAGCACATATTTTGAATAGAGTGCTGAGTAAAGCTGTACCCAACACACCTTATGAGATATGGTGTGGCAAAACACCCTCGTACAAGTATATGAAAGTATGGGGTTGTAATGCTTATGTGACACAGTTAGTGGGAGGTAAGTTGGATATGAGATCCATCTTATGTAAATTTGTGGGGTATCCAAAAGAGTCTATTGGATACTATTTCTATGACCCCTCTGAACAAAAGGTGTTTGTTTCGAGGAATGCTGTTTTCTTAGAGGAAGAGTTTCTCTCAAAGAATAGCGGAGTCATAGAACTTAATGAAGAACCACAGGAAATTCCACAAAATGCCACAAATAACATACTAGTAGAGACTGGACCATCTGTAACACAATCTCTTCGGAGATCTGAAAGGATTTCTCGGGCGCCTGAGAGGCTATGCCTATTGTTAGAGAACAATAAAGAGAGACTCCTTTTGGATAATGATCCAATAAGCTATGATGAGGCAATGTCGGACATTGACTCAGATAAATGGCAAGAAGCTATGCAATCCGAGATAGACTCTATGTATTCAAACAAAGTATGGACTTTGGTTGATCCACCACAGGGTATAGTACCCATAGGTTGTAAATGGGTTTACAAATGAAAACATGGTGTAGATGGAGAAGTTAATACTTTTAAAGCAAGACTGGTTGCTAAAGGTTATACTCAAAAACAAGGTGTTGATTATGAGGAAACTTTTTCACCAGTAGCAATGCTTAATCTATTCAGATATTGCCAGCCATAGCTGCGTATTATGACTACGAGATATGGCAAATGGATGTGAAAACTGCTTTTCTTAATGGAAACATTAAGGAAGACATTTATATGAAACAGCCGCAGGGTTTCATATCCAGTGGGAGCGAACAAATGGTTTGTAAGCTTCAAAGGTCCATTTATGGACTTAAACAAGCTTCGAGGAGTTGGAACATTCGGTTTGATGAAACGATCAAAACGTTTGATTTTCATAAGAATCCAGATGAACCATGTGTTTATAAGAAGGTTAGTGGGAATGCAATTGCATTTGTTGTTCTCTATGTTGATGACATCCTACTCATTGGGAATGATATAGGAATGTTACAATCAACACGGACATGGTTGTCTAAACAGTTCTCCATGAAAGATTTGGGAGAAGAATCTTTTATCCTAGGGATAAAAATCTATAAAGATAGATTTAAAAGGATGATAGGACTACCCCAGTCTACGTACATAAATAAGGTATTAAAAAGGTTTAGTATAGAAGAATCTAAACGTGGATATATTCCAATGAGTCATGGGGTTTCACTTTCTAAGATGATGTCTCCAAAGACACCTGAAGAAAGAGAACGAATGAATCATATACCTTATGCATCAGTTATTGGTAGCATTATGTATGCAATGTTATGTACAAGACCTGGTGTTTCTCATGCACTTAGTGTAACGAGCAGATATCAGTCTAATCCAGGTGAAGAACACTGGA